TAGTAGTAGTAGTAGTCAGTAGGAGTGATAGTTGTATGCAAAGGCTCCAACATGAAACAGAAAAGCAAGTACCTTAGACTGTGGAGCGGTTCTGTAAAATATATCGCCGAATGAATAGTTAGAAGCGGGTTTTGGGGTATGTTGAAACATGAAAATACAAGCAGGAACCCTAAGGAATACAGTATGATACGCCCACCAGTCTCAAGGTATACTACTGGTCATTTTTGCCGACCCCCAGATATTTCTGTTTGCGTCAAACCCTGGACCAAGTGCCCAACCGGCCAGGTGAACTCCTGCTGCGGCCGCTGCCGCCGCGCCGACTTCCATAGCCACGGGCGGAGAGTGGAAAAACAAATCGGAGCTAGTGCTTCCACAAGGGTTCCCAAGGAGCTGTCCTATAAGGCTTCCCTCACGGGCTCTTATGGTAGGCTACTATTGAGATGCGCAGGAGGCTGTGGAAACAAGTTAGATCTAGCGAATATAGGGGCCTTAATAAGTAGAAAAAGGTTTTGGGGCAAGTTATGTAGTAGCTTCAAACTAGCATCCCTGGGGGGGGGGGTGGGGTGATGCTGCGAATCAGGCTTTTGATATCGCATAGTGGGGACTATGAGGGATACTAGTACGAATGAAATATTGACCCCGATAGTACGAAAGGACCCATGTCCCAACTTCACTGCTCTTGGCAGCGCGCAGCTGCAGCGTGGAGCGCGCGATGGTTTGCGAAGCTGCTGCTCTCCCCTACCTGGGCCCTATAGAACCTACCTTTTGGGGGGCTCCTTGTTAAGATTTCTTTATACCAAGTCCTTAAAAAGGTAGGTCATTGAGTCATTTGGGGTTCAACATTTAGGGTCCCAGCTGCAGCCCCGCAAGCGTGAGTCCTACTTTTACCGGCGTGAAACTCTAGGGTTTAGGGTTTAGGGCTTTAGGGCTTATAGGGTTTAGGGTTTATAGGGTTTAGGGCTAGGGTTTTGGGGTTTATAATAGGGTTTAGGGTTTAGGGTACTCCCTCTCTTTGGCCTCTCCAACTTGGTACCTTCATGACTGCGGTGATCGCTTTTGTTCCGGATGAAGCTATTTACTTCTTCTTACTATATGCAAAAAAGAATATGTATGTATGTATGTATGTATGTATGTATGTATGTATGTATGTATGTATATATATATATATGTGTGTGTGTGCGCGTGGATATATATATATATGTACATATCCACACATACACTAACATATACGTAAATGAATGTGTATACATATATATATGTACAGATCCACACATACACTAACATATATGTAAATGAATATGTGTATGTATATATATATATTTATTTATTTACATACATATATATATATGTCTATGTATATACCACGTTTTTGGAGTTTTGTTGTCATATACATCATCGTGCAGATCCAAGTAGGTAGGTAGTGAGGTAAGTATTTAGGTAGGTAGGTAGGTCGGTCGGTCGGTAGGTCGGTAGGTGGGTAGTAGGTGGTTGGGTAGGTGCGCAGGTATATATGCAGGACATACAGCTGGAAAGGCAGACAGACTGAAAGCCAGACAGAGCATCCGCCGGAAGAAGCGGGGGGGTCAGGAGAAATCCACACCTGTCGATTTGGTGACCAAATACGACCGACAAGTGGAAGAACTTGTCCTGAAGCGGCTGAGGCCTCCGTGTCTTTAGCCTTGCCGAAGGTGTTGCCGTTTCCATTGTCTCTTCGGGCTGCAGGACCGCTGCACCCGAGTTCCGTGTCCTTGCCGAAGAGACGGCCAATAGCGAGGAGCCCCACAACCAACTCAGCTTGTTTCGGTAGGCTTGAGTCTGAATAGGCATTGACAGATGCGCCTACATGGATCGTTGATCCTATCGACGGCACCACCAACTTTATCCACCGACAGGCCCGGCGCTGGGCGCTGGGCTCTCAGGTCGCGTGTTGCTTAAGTTCGAAGACTGAGGCCGAGTGCTGTGTTCTTATCGGTCTGGCCGTGCAGAAACGGGCGGTGCTTGGTGTTTGCTTCATCCCGAAGTTGGATGAGAGCCTTGTCGTTTGAGTTCCGGTAGTACATCCCGAGATACGATGGAAGATTGCCGTCAATGGCCTGAATTCCAGGTTGTACACGGCTGTCAGGGGTCGTGGCGCATACTGCAATGGACGACGCATCGTGTCTAGTGGCTGCAAGGACTGGGTGGGTCAATGGAGACTGTTGTTTGCATGTTGGTGTATCCAAGCATTGACTGAAGATGCAGGACCTTACACGTGCGTTGGTCAATTTGCACATGCCTTCATATTCCCGCGGGCCCAAAGTGGTGGACCGAATCTTGGGCCACCCGGCAAGAACAGAACACCAGAACCGAGACGAAAGTGCACCCGCATGTGTGCGTCGGTGTACGTCCGCTCGCTTCGGAGATCTTTTGCTAGGTTGGGAGTGCCCCAAGTTCTTGGCCCGCAAACGCCGCCAAAGTGGCTCCTGCTCTTGAGGCATCAGCCGCGACTTGTTGGCTCATCCAATCAGGGCCATGCACTGCGGTGGCTCTGCGGGAGTTGATATGATGCACGTGGCACGGGGCCGTCTGGACGTGTATTTCGAGGCCGGTCACACCTCTTCTTGCGAGTTGCGGTGCGGTGGGGTTGCCACATTTTTCCCACCGAGCCAGGTGGGCATCTATCCGTGGGATGTTTGTGCTGGTCAAGTCATCGTGGAAGAAGCTGGTGGCGTTTGCTGTGACACCCTTGGTGGCCCCTTTGACTTGGCCTCTCGCGTTTTGGCTAAGAAGCCAACAGTTGGTGACTTGTTGCTGTGCCTTCGCGACTATGTCGGTCGTTTGAGTGGGTGTCGGAGCGATATCAGGATTACACCAGTGGTGGAGATGCAGATGGCGAGGGTAGTAAGTATCATATAAGAATAATGCTAAAGCTATTGGAAGCTATTGTGTATTTTGTTTTCAGCAGGGGCTGCTGTTTTGGCTCCTGCTGATGCTGCCTTTGCAGCTGCGACGACGGTAGCGGCTGCTGTCGGTTCTGTTGATTCTGCGGTGGAGGCTGCTGCTACGACTTTTTGCGACAACAGGCGTGATGATTGCATTCGAGTATTGTTTAATACCGCACATGCTGTTGACAGTGTTTGCTTCAGCATTCGTGATGTTCGTTGGTATTGGGGGGAGGGTGTAACGTCCAAAATAACGTTCAGGACTTCACAAGTCTCTGATCGACGAGCCAACGTAACACATGACGCTGATCATAGTGGCCTAGGCCGGCCACAGGCCCTTTCTTGTGTTAGTCAGCATTGCCAATCAGAACTAGTGACTAGTGCCCTGAGTGAGGCGAAGTGCTTAGTTGCTTGCATTTACTCTGTGATCTGTGCTCGTTCTCACGCAATTGTTGCTTGCGCTGTGTTTCTGCGCAGCTCAGCCAGGTTTCCCGTCATTGCTTCTTTACAGTATTCCCCTTGTCGTCTGCATAATCACACCAACAGCGAAACTCGTGAGTAGTGCTTCTGGGATTGTGGTACGGATAATGGAAAACATCGACACCGATGCGATGAGAGTCGTGACTTCTATTCCGCTTCGTGTTTGTTCTGGGAAGACGGCGGCCAGGGTTGGTGCTGGTCAACATTACTCAAACCGAACCAGATTTCATGCTTGTCACGAAGTCGAGTGCTGGCGGCCTCATCACCCGAGCTCGTTGCGCAGCTGGCTGTGCACCTGAATAAACACCGCACCTCACTTCCTTCAGTAGGCCTTTTCGTTAGGCAAGGTCGAGACGCACTGGTGTGGTTAATGTGTTGTGGCACGAACTCACGAAGTACTCGTCCACCCTCCAAGGCTACAGCTCAGTGGAAGCAGACGACTACAGCGCTGACGACACAGAAAAAGAGCCAAAGAGACCCCGGATATAAGCAGCCGGAGCTTCGTGGACGTGTGCGGCAGCCGCGATGTAAAAATTGCGAGCGGTTTTGTGCTTTGGTTTCGTTTCAGTGCTTGATATGTGAGGAACATGTCATAACATGCCCTTGCGGCGAGGTCAAGGGCACTCTAGGAGTCCCGGAGTCGGGATTCTTGGCTGCGAGGCCTCGGGAAGACGCTGTTTGGCTCGGGAGTCACGCTGTAGTTCGGACAAGTTCTTAACGTGTGTCTACGCTCGTTGGACAAACTGTACCCGTTGATGTTTCGGATCGAGAACTCTATACATCCTCTTTTATCGTGCACATTCCGACAGTGTGCCTCGGCTGCGTTTGCATCGAAGCACACTTGCGCCCTTTGTTTCGAGAGCTGTCGGATTATGTGCTGAGGTTTCTACAGCCCATGAGGCCGCGACCCAAGCCCAAGGTTGTTTACGAGTCTCTGCAGTGGAGATGTTATGGCTTCGACGGTTTCGCTCGGGGACCGCAGGTTCTCCGTGTGGCTGATTGCCTTCTGCCTCAGCAGAGCCTGGAGCTCGGTTGCTGGCTCTCTCGGCCTGAGGGCTGCCAAAGCCCTCAAGGAGCAGTTCATTGCCGTGATGAGTCTGTCGAGCGCAGATTCCAGGCTGTCTTAAGCTCTTGGCAGGGGCAACAGCAGCACTGTCAACATGCCGAAGCAGCAAAAAACGCTGTCAACATTCTCTCAGGCGGCACCAGTGCAAGATGTCCCCTCTCAACCATGGCCGGAGGACCTTACGCATCGCTGTGGTGAGCGTTCCCTGGTCGCCAACGTGCTAATCACAGGTACTTGCCCCTTGAGCCTCTGTTTCACCGCAGCCGTCTCCAGCCGTGCGTGACCACAGACATATCCTGGGTGAGCCCAGCCGCAACAGGATGCTCGGCATACATTAGAAGCTTGGTAGTGGAAGGCTTCAGCCAAAATCAACCATGGGCCTGCGTCTGCAAATGCTTGTTGCAGGAGAGATGGCTCAGGGAAGGACGCCTTTCCGGTCGCTGTGTCATGGTAGCAATCAGCTGCAAGACTTCGTCATGTCGACAGCACAGGTCCTTGGGGTTTCCTCGGAGGTTTGTATTGGGAGCTGGTCTTCTGCTTCTTTGCCAACAGCTCACCTTCACGGGGACACCAGGTCTGCCGTCGGAGATGAAACTACAGCAGCCTGATGCTTTCAATTTTGCAACGAGCAGGCGCAAAGAGGCAGACGGCACTTCGACGAAATGCCGAGACTGAAAGTGCTGTGATGACCGAGTCGCAACCTGGCACGAAGCTCTCGCAACATGCCTGCAGTGCATGTCAACATAACTATGCCTTGCTTGCTGCCGAGTGAACAGCTGCGGGCGGAGAAGAAGGCGGCGACCCTCGAGGCAATTGAGCAGGCTGCGCAGCAGGACGGGGACACCAGGGCACGACTCGTGTGAGTGCTGCATAAACTAGCTTTGGTCTATACTTCCAGGATGCACCAATGGGCGAAGACTTGGGCCACATGGCTGACCGGGCGTCGAACGGAAGCTTTGTGGGGTCAGATTGCGCCTGCTGAGGCAACTTTTGGGTGAATCAGCCTGGCCAGCTGTCCTTCGAAGTCCAGTTCAATCGTGGGGACAAGGTGAAGGACCTGAGGACGGTCATCGAGAAGGCCTTAAACGGGAGTCTCTCAGACTCTCAGCCTTCGCCCAAAGTCATTTCCACGGCCGATGCAGGTCACCGGGATCCCTCCGGATGCGCAGGAGATCCGTGCGGGCGGAGACCTCCTCTGGAGCCTGGCGCTTTTGTTCCCTTTACAGCCGAGCTTGCATGCACCACTCCTGTTGCCCAGAAGACGGCGTCTTCCTCGAGGGCTTGGACCTGACCGCTTGAAACCTCAGGGATTGCTCCGTTCCTGCAGCAGTGAAAGCAGGTTTTGGGTGACTGTGCTTGCCGAGGACATCTGGGTCATGGACGACCGGGATGACTCCCCAGAGCGAGGCGAGTGGAACCCCGATCCGGAGGAGGACCAAAGCACTGGAGCGGTTTCATGGCATGGACCGGTGTGAAGCACGAGCTGGCAAAATGCAGGACATGGATCCTCTCTCCAATCCTTTGAAGAGCCATGAAAGCAAGAAGAGGGTGAGAGTAAGATGCACGTTGACTTGCTAAGGCTGCTAAAGCGCCTCGATGCGCCGCAAGCAACACAGTTCCTGTGGTTGTAACAAGGATTGCCATTTACCTCTTCAGTGGCATCATTGGCATCTTCTGGGTGCCACACCTTGAATACCCGAGCTGTTCTCAATTTGCACAGAGAGATGGAAAAATAGAAGGCAAAGCGTGCCATGCAGGTGACACAGATCCTCGGCGTCAATCCGTATGGCAACTGGCCAGAAGGTCCTCGTGCAAACTGGGCTGAGGCGTGGCGGCGTGGGGGTCGTGTGGCCTTCCATGGTGTTCCCTTGCATGCCTTGCCTTCCAGAAGATGCCCCGAATCTCCATGTGGCAAGGTGCCGGAAGATCTCCGACCGGGTGCCGAGCCCTACCAGTGGCCTGGCTCAGCTGCAACTGGCAAGCGGGAAACTGCATCCGCAGGCGCAGGAAGGCAAGGCGTGAACGTTCTGGATCTGCCCAGGCGACCTCAAGCTCTTGATGTTGACGAGAAGACGCAGAAGCAGCTTCTGGAGCAGCGATTGCCCAGCAAGCAATTGAAGTGATTGTCGCCAGCACAGCAGATTTGCAAGTCCTGTTCAAAGTCATCAGAACAATGGCTCATCCGTTGATTTGCGAAACAAGCCTTTAGGGTTAGTTCGTGGATCTGGTTATCAGTTCGAAGCCAGCGTTCTGATCATTGGTCCAGTGCGGCATGCCCGTCGCAGTCCGCTGCACCAAGCCAAGCTCTCTGGGGACGGGACAGCTTTCAATTCAAAGACGATATTTTGCTACACGGCTACATGCGTGTTGCTTTGGTCCTCCCCCGGGAACTCGGAGTTTTGATGTAAGAGAAAGGTGCCTGAGTTACTCGTTCACCCAAGAAGTGGCACCCTCTTTCACCTTGTAGGTCCAGGAAGCCGGACAGTCAAAGTTAGACTAGCTCATAGAAGCTGCCGGGCTACACCGACTAAACTCTCATTCGAGACATTGGCTTTCTGCAGTTTTTCACCGGGATCCCGTGCATGTCAGCATGACACACGGGTGAACCAGACTTCACATAAAGTGCAAGAGCGCGCAAAAATAGCTTGCCCTGTGGTTCTACAATACGTCGGAAAACTCATGCGCAAACTTGCTTCCTGCTCAGGACGAGTGCGATGCTAACGACGACTCCTGTGGTTTGTCGTTGAGGCGCTCAGCTTTCCACGCAGAAGCGCATCTTCGACTTCTTTGGACGCAGGGCTTGGGGCCAATGTTTCGTTTCACAAAGGATGCCAGAGGTTGATGCCAACCATCCACCATGTCTTTGAGCCTGATGGCTGAAGACAATCCTAAAACGAAATGAAGCCCCTGCAGGCAGCTTCGCGGTCAGGGCCTGGAGCAGTTGGAGCTCGAAGACTTTCTGGCCGGTGCAGACTTTGACGAGGAGGAGGCTGTGGAGGCCTGGCCTCCCGGCATCCTGCGTCCTGTGGAGAGGGCCAAACGAGGCTGCCGTTTGGGGATGTGCTCAGCCTTTCACCCCGTGTGGAGGTGGCGAATCAGACCGGTGGGGAATAGCGGCTTCCTCAGACAACGTGAGGCATGCAGTGGCCGGCCGGTGGTCCTGATGCTAAGTTCGTTCTACGCATATCGTGCGAAGAATGACAAAAACTACGAGGACACGACGCTCGGTAGCAGGTGCTGAAGTTAATTGAAGTTTTTTAGAGGATAGCGCGACTGAGCCCAGCCCAGGAATGTCAACATGGCCAACCTTCCGGGTGTGATGCAGCTTGCTACATACTAGATGGTCTTGACCTGCTGTTGGTACGGATTCATCCGCCGAGGTGGTATCTGCACAGCGAGGTTGTTGGACATTGTCCTCGCAAATTTGGGATTGTCCGCATTCTTCGCTACAAGGCTTAGGGCTGCGATCTTGTTCGTGGATTTTGGTGGACTCTCGTGACCGTGAGATCACCATGAAGCCGACTCCGGAGCTCGAGCGGACGGGCCATCCCTTCGCACATCTCTGCGTGCTTCTTACCGAAGTATCCCTCCCGGGGTGCCCGGGTCATTATGTCATTGGCGCCTAGAGATGACAGTGCTCCTGAACCGGGCATCTGGGACCGAGGCCATTTTGACAGCGGTGCCTGCACTGGTCCTCAGCAGAGCCTGGATGAGTACCAGAAGAGCCTTGGTACACTTCAAGGCTCAGGCAGTCGAACTACGACTGGATGATGTCGTTCGATCATGAGTTGTAGGACATTTTCAGGTGGGTCGTTACCGTTATAGGAGCCTCATAGAAGGTCTATATACCTTATAGAAGCCCTATAGAAGCCCTATATACCCTAAACTCCTCACCTGTAGTTTCCTGAAATTAGTCAATGAGGTATGGATATGTTGTCGGCTGTGACCGACCGAATCACCAACATGCTGCTTACAGACAGGCCAGGCGCCCGCTGACATTCACAGAGTTGTTGCTCTGCTTGAGCCTCTCAGAAAGCCGAGCCTTGAGACATCTGCGAGGCCACCTGGTACAGCTTTCCTGGCGATTGTCCTTCTAAGACCTTCCAGCAAAAAGCCAGCTGCCAGGAGGGGGAAGAAAAAAGCATTGGGCGCTAGAGAGAACTTGGGTGTGTAGCAGTGGGGAGGTGTGCATTTGTGGTTGACCCAGCTCTTCGATTTTGTCGCCTTCAGGAGAAGGGGGGACTTTGCAAGCTGCTTGTCAAGATCATTGGAGCGATTCTCAAGGCTTTGAGGCCCTTTGCCACTGCGCAAGAAGAAGGTCGACCCTGTGAACGTGCTGTGCATCTCTAGTACAGCAACAAAGTGAGCAGAAAGCCCACAGAAGTGCCGTTTACAGCAGTAGCAAGAGCACATAGTGGAAGACAGAGACCAGAATCATGGTGTTGGGCCAACATGCTCAGCCGAAGAACTTGGCTGGGAAGCTTGTAGTGCAGCGAAACTCAACAGTCGCACGACGAGTCTTGTAGAAGTGGTGGACATCATTCCTGGGCTGTTCTGCCACAGCATGCCAACTAACCTCCTACGTGCAGGCCGAAGGATTCATGCAGTTTCAGATTTGAGCTGTGCTTTCAAACTAGACGGCCCATGAACCCTGAACCCAGTCGCGGCAGTCCCTGACATTCGCCTTTCATATCTGTGACGGCCATGAAGTCTAAACTGGGCGCTGATCCTGTCATGCCAGCTCTGAGAGCGTAAACCCGAAGCCCGAAACCCTGTCAGCTGGGCGGGTGAGAGAAAACCCCAACTAAATCCTTGGCTCCCTAAAGAGTTCTGGCATGTTCGAGAGTAAGCGCCGAAAGAGTTCGGCCGAGGCATGGGGAGCCCTGGTCCAAAACCTGCACCTGGCGACGGGAGTACGCTGGTGAGGCGCCTTTGCTGCCGTGTTGGGGGGGGCTTTGAACACTTTTTTTTTGTTTGGGCTAGGGCTTGTGTTTTATGGTTGCGGAGCCTGTTTTGGTCCTTGCGTGACTCGCATGGCTGGGAGATCACCCTGGACGAGCTGACCCACAACTACCACTTCGAAGAGCGCTGCAAGAAGGTTGCGGTCGCAAGTCTCCTCTGCGTGGCATCGCTGTTTCTGTGTTCTTGGGCAGGGCTTCTACGAGTACAACGAAGCACTGGACTGACAAAGCATGAACACGCTCTTGTCAAACTTGGCTTTTGCTAGTCCCCTTTCGTCGCCACTTTCCAGCACGCATTGAGCAGGACCGCGGTCAGGGCACAAACTACTGGCACACACGCTCCAGCGAAGCAGTTTGCGCCTGAGCGCTATTCGCTTGCAGAGACATGCTAGGACTTTGCGGCTGCAGGTCTGCAACCGCCGGATGAAGTGGCTGAAAGAAGTGCTCCATAAGCTTGTGCCTGAGTTATCGAAATTAGTTGATTCAGCCTGCCTGCAGCTTTGATCCCATCCCTGGTGTTTGGAGATGACGGAGATCTGACAGGAAAGCTGGCGGCCCACGTCTCCCAGACCCTCCACAGTGCCCGTTCCGGCCTCGGGGCCAGGGCTCTACAAAGTCTGGTCAGTCACTGATGTTTGTTTCCAGCCGCGGCGCTGGTGCTCTGAGGTTCGGAGACAGGGACCGCAGCTTGGCGCAAACAGGAGGACACATCAAATGGGGGGTTTCCTGCTCGAAGATCCGCCTGAGGCTGACATGGAGCCAAGAGCTGCACCGTCACCAAGTTTGCTTTAACGGGCTCTGCCCGGTCCCACAAGGTGACAAGGTCTTCCCGGAAACTAGCTGAGCAGGCAGTGCGTGAGACAAAACGGCAAGGGCTCGTTGATGCTACGGGAATTGGGAAGTGCCGTCAAGCGATGCTCCTGTGCAGCTTGAACGGGCTCTCGTACGATTTTTGTCTTTCGGCTTCATCCACGATCCGCGCCAGGCCGCCGTCGCCCTCGCAGTCCCAGTCAACTAGCAGGAGTCCTGGGTGTTGTCCACGCCTGCTGGCGGCTGGTGTGAGAATGTTTATTGTACAAAGAAAGATAAAGAAAGCATACTCCTTGCCCACTTGAGGTCCCCGGTCACAGCGTGCCTGCTACTCAGCGATGTCCCTGATAGCTTTCGCATGCATTTCTGGCAAGTCTGTCGGGTTCAGCTACGCCTCCATCCACGGCACGACGGGTTTATTCTGCCAAGGCTAGGCGTGGCAAAGGATTCCTGGACGAGGACTGTAGTTATGAGACCCTGCCCGACAGATTCGGTGCCTTGAGAGATTCAGAACCGGATCGCGTACAGGAGGAGGAGGACGATGGCTGCGGCGAGCCTGGCCCTGAGTGTCACGCAGTTGCTTGGTTGAACTGCTCCAGACGATTGTAGAAGGTCGCTCGCAAGTATCCAGGCTCAAGAACGGCTATACAGCTCATGCCGACCATCCCACCAGCCACCTCTGTGTGGTGTGGTTAGTGACATCATATAGCTCACAGCACCAATGCACCGCTTTGGCCGTGTCTCGTCGCATCATCTTTCCATCGCATCTCGAGCGGCTCATGGCTGAAGCTGAGCATGGTTGGTGTCCTCACTTACAACATCCACTCTGGAGTTGGCGGCGACGGAGTTTACGATCTTGAGCGCATTGCTGGAGTCGTACGCAGATCTGGAGCTGATGTTGTGTGCTTGCAGGAGGTGCAAAGCCGAGAATGTGCTCTCGCCATGTTCGAGTGTAGCCCGGTGCAGGTTGAAGCGAACGGCGAGGTTCTGCGAGTGCGAAAATGGTCTGTCCCGCATCCTGGCGGCAGATGAAAACCACAAACAACTATCACAAGTACATCACAGGCTTCAACGCCCAATGCGAAGCTAAAGCCATTCAGCATGAGGCATGCTGACAATCAGCCGCAGCAAATCGCAGCCATGTGTGGATTGCCACACTTCACATTCTCCGCCACCTTGACTGCGACCTTCTCGAAGGACAGCGCGAACTTAAATACCGCACGGCACGCATTTGGAAAGCCGTCTTGGCCTTGAGCAGGCAGTGCATGCGAGGAACAGCGCTCACCCGTTAGTCGAGGATTCGCTGCGTGGTGGAGAAGTTCTACAACACTCTGGAGACGGGCGGTACGGACTTTGCATTTTGAGCAGGCTCCGCGGCTCCAACCATACGACAGTTGTGTGTGTGTGTGTGTGTTTCAGGTTGTGCTTGAAGGGAATGCTGCGGGTCAGGTTCCCAATCATCCGGTCGCGTCAGCTGTCCTTCAACCGCGCGGAGGACCGACTGCTTTCGAGATATGTTTGAGTTATGTCAACGACCTTCTCTGTCCCGGAGGGAAGTCCTGGTGAAACTCTCTTCATGGACCAGGAAGAGCAGCCGCGGGGCGCTCTTGCAGTGCCCTGGAGCATTCAGAAGTTGCTCAAATTCAAGAAAGGTGGACCTGCATGTGCCTGCAGAGGTGCTCCTGGACATGCAGGAAGAGGATGCCGAGCCGATGTGGGTTGTGAACACGCACCTCTCCCACAGGCCTTCGTCTCTCGAAGCCAAGACATGCCAAGAAACAAAATTATCATGTCAGGATTGCGTCGAAGGAGCAGCGACGGCAAGCGGCAGAGGCGATGGGACATCACGTACCGCAGCTACTGGCGCCCTCCCCTTTTGTTTGACAGGTCCTCCACTGGATGGACGAACTACGATCCGAAGATCTGCCAGAAAGTGATAGGCCAAGTGATGCTGTGAGATGCTGCAGCGAGGGCATGGCGACTTTGTGATGCCAGGGCAACGTTTCTGCTAGCAGCCGATTTGAATTCACCGTCTTTCTGTCCATACTCTTCCTATTCGGCCGGGTTCTGAGTGTGTCGCTGTTGCATATATGATTCTGTATGTGTGTACAGCGTACATATAAGTCCATAAGTGTGATGCACATGCCACCACATGCTCCTATTTGCCCACTATCCGGCACATCTGACAATCCTCGACAGGGAGACTTCTCTTCATGTTCGTGTTGTAGCTTGTTTTGCAATGTTCTCGCCGGAAGACCAAGGCAGTGTTCCTTCGGAAGTAGTCTGTCCCACAAGCCAGCACAATTCCTGCAACATCGAGAAGTCAAAAAATTCCATGGAGATGCCAGGGCCCAATGTACGTTTGTTGGCTTTTTGGACTTTCGGCTGTTTTGATTTTGGGCTTCTGTTTTTACGAAACTCCAAAAGCACCGAACTCTCAAAGTCCACAACTCCAAACTGGTTCTAGCAGAAATATGGGAATTTGATTTGCCAATAGTTTTGCACTATGTGGCCGTGCATGCTGCATGCTTCCCTCACGAGGGGGTTTCGATTTGTGGGAAGACTTTCTCCAAGATGTTTTCTGTCTTCACACGAGAATCTAATTGACGAGTTTAGGGTGTGGCTTCCAAGAGGTCTCATCCATCTGCTGTTTATCAGCTGTGGATTGTGTCTAGTTCATACGTCGATCACTTAATAAGCTAGTCAGTCTAATTAGTAGAATAGCCCGTGCTCAGACTACATTCATAATTTGTCAATGTTCCATTAACATTCGTCCACAGCATCACTATCTAGTTAGATTTGGTTGACAGTTGCTCATTGTTTATCAAACGTCGGCTGATGTAGGATGGGTTTATGCAAATCCAGTTGATATTTGGATCATATATTACCAAGCTCACGTATTTTGCAGTTGGTGTAGATCTAACAAGTGTTGAAGTATGAAAGTAGAATCTCAGCGTGTTTTGCTGAATGAGGATCTACGAGGTTTTGTTGTTAGTCAATCGAACCCGAATACTTGGTCAGTACCGTTACGCTAATTAGGTAGATAGTCATACATACAAGGTGTACTAGTGGCCAGGAAGTATTCAACAAGTCCGAACTAGTAGTAAGTCAGTGCCGGTTAAGCGTTGAGATTAAACAAACTCTGTGGCAACTGTCGACCATATGACTGAGCTGGAGCTCAACCTGTATATTTTACAGGTACCAAAACTAGTCAACATGCTACGCAAATGCTAATGAGATGTTGGTGAGACTTCATACGAACATTGAGCACAAGGCAGGTACGAGCGACAAGACAAGCAGTTTATCACGCGCTTTCAGACGAGTCAACAATTTGCATTAGACATAGTTGCGTACCTCATAGTTGAACATCGGCCGGGAATAAAGTTAGACAAGTGCTAGCTGCATAGCAACCTATGACGCTGCGTTTTCGCCTGATTGTACGGAAATACTAGATCTGAAGCACATGTTCGTTCGATATTCGTGTAAAGTGAGTGCGAACAGACCTCGATGCCTCGTCCAATTCGTTGGTGTCACGGAGAGCTATGAGAGCGAGTCATGAGTCATGACCAGGGTAGCAGACTGTGCTCTACCGACAACTCATTTACACTTCTGCCTTGCAGGGTGTATGCTCTGTCAAGTGCTCCGCCTCAAACGCACCTGGCTGAAGAAACTTCCATAAGTCAATGGCTTACGACTCAGTTGTAGGCGTCTGATCCAAGAGTCCGAGCCATTCCGGCTGCACAGATCTAGGACTGAGCGCTATCCGTGAAAAAGAGTTCCAGTGCATGTGCTTGCAAGGGGAACAGGTTGGTAGTGCAGTGGTCAACTTCTACCTCAACATTTGGCAGCCACAATTCATATCTATTAGCTCGGTGAGGTGGGCAACCAAGACAATATCGACAACCTTCACGCAGGTTATCAGCCTTCGCTTCGCCTACAAAGCGTGGCCGGCAGTTGGAGAATCCACTGCCGATGACCCAGTGGCGGTGTCAGTTGACAGTACCACCACGGAAAAGGACAAGGCAATTCCCTCAACTTCGAAGCCGAGCAACCCGACAAGAAAGGCAAGATCTTCGCCAAGGACGACTACAGCGTCTCGTCCATCTTCGGCAAACCCGAGAACAAGGACAATCGACAGACGACCGTCCAAACCGGTGAGCTAAGGGCAGAAAAGGATGCTCCCCGTTGCCTTTGGCGAGGGTGCGATCATCGCTTGATGCGGGTTTGCGGAGCCCTTCCATGAGCCCGAAGGTAAATTCCGTTGACCAACTCGACGACTTACCTTCGGGCCTGCATGCTTCCCTCATGCAGCAGATGGTCATTGCGCAGTCCGAGATGCAAAGTTTTCATGAATTAGAACTTCAACGCCATGAAGCAATCGTACAGGTGCTGATGCAGTGTGAGAATTGAAGAATTGGAACGTCAGTGCAGCGTGATGCAAGCAGCCATGGCGCACATGAATCAAGTGCACCACGGATCAAAGAAGGAATATGAAGTCGCGTTGATGAGAATGCAAAAGGTGAGCCAGGATCGACATGTTCGTGACCATGAACTTGCCGAATCGCTATTTAGCCAGTTGGCACAGCTACTTGGTGAAGCTGCCAGCAGCTTCCTACACTTGGAGGAGAGAGAGCGCAAGGCGAGGGATTGAACGTGGCGAGGGAGTACCAACAACACGTCCAGTTCATGTTGCAAACAGCAAGAAGACAACAAGGTCAGACACTCAATGCTGAAGGTCGTAATGGTGTTAGCATGAACAGCAAATATCTATGAACATGCAGAGAAGACCCGTATTTGGGAATAAAGGCAGGGGGACCATGCTGTAAGGTGGTAATCTAGCTTAACGACGCCAACGCTACGTATCTCCGATTTTTCTCCGAATGGCAAGACTAAGCCTAGAACCTCCACGCACAACAGGCCTGCTTTGCCACAGTGTACAGATAGGTTTTGTGAGTGATTTCGCCGGTTCACAGCTGCCTTTAAATGTTGCATTGCGTGTGTCAAATTTCCGGCTCGTTTCGTGCGGCGCCGAAGCCTGGTAATTCACATCAGTTCACCATTATTGGTAGTAGGACTCAGGAGGCCACTACATAATATACATTTAACAAACTTTAGCGGACCTCGTATCTTCTTAGTGATCCCGACATCATTCAGCCATTCTACTTGACTTCACCCATGGCACCTAGGACCCCATCAACTACCACACCACTGAACTGCGAGTCAAAACCCAAACGCTTCAAGCAAGTGTTTTTGTGCGTTTAGCGCGCATCAAACCCTCCCCACGTGTCCTACAGGCTTGACCTTCATCCTCCACATCTTCTTGGACGTATGCATCGACACCCATGCGTGTTTGCACTGCTTCGTGTACGTGTTTTCATTCGTGTGTGTATGTATCGCTATCAGGGAGCTGGATAGCAACTGTGCAAAGACGTGAACCTGGTGCGTGTCTGTGTGTGTCTGCTTGTCTGCTCTTACAAATGTCCCCGAACACGGGAGGGGTCGAACCGTCGAACGGTCCCCCCTCCCTCTCCCGCTTTGCTTCAAGCCACGTGGGGATGAGCCTGCTCAAGCAGTGAGAAGGTGCGATGAAAAGGAGACAGGGATAGAAACAGAGCGAGAAAGAAAGCATACTGTGTATGCTGTAGCACACGAGCAACACCAGGGTGTCAAGTATTCTTTTTGGTGTCCCTTGTTACGAAAATATAGTGTTCTTGGCCTAAGCTGGCCAAGTCCTCTATTGAGAAGATGAACAGAGCAGCAAGCAGCCTGATTGTCTGAAATCATTGGTCGTGGCTGGTGGAGAGTGACTGACAAATGCTGCGGTGCACGGCTGCCCTTCGCAGGCAGAAACACGGGGCAGAACACAAGAAAATGAGGTAGCAGCTAGGAGTTGCCACCTGTGCCGCAAGGTCATTGCTGCAGACTCCAGGTGGAAAGACCTTTGGCAGGCCTGTGGAACCAATGTGTGTCTGTCACCGCCTCGCGGGGGAGTCAAGTTCAGTGTGAGGAGGGTGGTGGCCCGTGCTGCTGCTCAGCCACCTTCCCAGCGAATTGGTGTGGCGGCTTCTTTGGAACCAGGAGCCTTTAATATCCGACGTTTCTGTTCGAAGACTCGTCGATTTGTGAGGATTGATCACATCTTCGGATTGTGTCTGGAAGATGGACCAATTCCAATGTGTGAAACTGCCCGAGTTGTGCGCGAGACACCTGCGGATGCTTCTTGGAGTAAGAGCTATAAGCTGGACAGTAGGATTTGCTCATTTCTGCTCAGCTTGTGCGTCAAGTATTTCGTTTCCGAGGAACTTGCCTCCGACCACTGCGCCGTGTTTGTACAGATGGATTTTGTTGTGGCCCCCGATGTTTGTAGCAAGGAGGAAGTTACTGTCCATCAGCCGCTGGCAGGCTGAATTCCGCGGAAAGCGCATTCTGTGCGACCAATCAAAAGTTGGCGCTGTAATGACTCGGTACTGTAGCGTGCTGTAGGTGGTTCAGCCGTGGCTGGAACATGGACCCATTGAGTGGAATGAATGCTTCTTGCCAAAGTGCAGATGATTGATCAAAAGAATGGCCGCGCAGTCGGTGGTGTTGACAGGCTTTAGGGGAGGGTCAACGTTTAGAACGATGAACACCGTATCGCAGACTCAAGGTTCACATTTGGAACGTCAGCGCCCATTCAGCTGCCAGACTTTTCGCAGATGCCAGAAGCCAAGATTGATGCTGAAACCGCGCATGGCGGCAGCAGATGAAAGCAGAAACGCACGATACTTTCGCTCGCTCAGGCACAAGTCGCCTCGACAGGAGGCACCGGCGATGCGCTTTTCAAGGGAATAGGGCAACTGCTTGAGACGGGCTACTCGGTCTCTCGTCTTCCGTCTTTTGAGTTGAGAAAGCAGGTCAAGTCGTTGCGGCAAGCTGGCTTGCAGCTTAGACCTCCCAGAAACGAGCAACTTTTCATGGCCGCCTGCGTCTGAGAACGCTTGAAGCACGTTGCCAAGCTTTGCTTGCTGAGGCCATGGAGAGGAGTTGCGACCTCAACCGGATATATACCGAAAAGATAAGATGCGGAACCGTCTGGCTTCGTACGAAACCTCATACGAAACCTTGATCCCGTGCCAAGGTTGTCGTTGGCTCCTGTACAGGAAGTAGAGCGATCGGCGCCAGACCGACCGCCACTTCCACGGTCACCGTCGACCTTCTCAGGGCTTTTGCAAGTAGCCTGCAGTGATCTGCTCCGCCCTGCTGAGTGGTTGCAGAATCACGTGGTTTCGCATCGCTGTCTGCTGTCTGCTGTCTCGCCCTCGCTCTCGCTCTCTCTCTCTCTCTCTCTCTCTCTCTCTCTCTCTCTCTCTCTTTCTTTCCCGAGGCCCCCGGCCATCCACCGGCCGCCGCCGCCGAGCGGCGCGCAGCCGCCTTTTGTGTCTCCGCGGAATGCCTCGCCCAGAACGGCTTCTCCGAGGCCGATCCAATCAAAGTGCGGATAGAGAGCAGAGAGCTTTCGGCTTGCCAGCCAGTCCACCCTCCTGCCAGGTTGCCTGGCAACTGGCACCCGCACATGTTGACGGCTTAGAGCCGGAAGTCGGCAGGATTTTAGGTCAAGGATGGACCGTGCCGGCGTTAGCGTTTCCCGACGCCCTAGGCCACAGCAAGGTGCCAACCTCGGCACAGACAGCAAGAGAGTCGTGCTAAAGTGCTAAGGAGCGACAGGAGTCCAATTATGGTGAGCCGCAAACGCATGGACTCTCGCGTTTCATTTGTGATTGAGGCTTTTATGGTCAGGTTCCGATGCAACCGCCGCCGCAGATGTACGCCTCGGCCTAAGGACCAAGGTTTGACCTTCACTGAAATTTCTTCTTGTATGGCCTAGGCATGTGTAATGTTGAGCAGGGCGAGCCCATGATTTGCACTTGTTTGTCCATTGTGCCGCAGCTTGGTTTAGAGACGAGTTGGCTAAATCCATTGGTGGTACTCGCCATGGGATCGATGCTTGGAAAGCTGTGCGTTGGTTGCTTTGGGGCGTGCTTTGCCTTGACGCCTGGCACCGTATATTCCGGATGCCGTGATCTCCAAGCCTTCGGCTTTTAGGAAACAGCTGTCCAACTCAGGAACTTGCTTTGGGCAACGCTGTTTATGCGATTTGTTGGCTGCTTATCTGAACCGGGAAGAGGGGGCATCGATCCCGGAGTCCTCACGGTTTTCGTCTGTCCGTCTCTGTGCCCTCCGGGCCGCTTCTGCAGCCGGTGACTTCGTGATAAAGAGGCTTTCCCCCACTTGTCAAACGAGGTCTTTTGCCCATGGAGAAGAGGACATGAACCTGTCTCGTGCAATATCCTTCCCATGTAATGGTCATTTCTGACCTGTTGAAGTTGACATCCTAAGACAGTGTGGCGTGTCTTTCCTCGAGGAGAAGGGAGAGCATTTGCCTGGTTGTGGTCCAGGTCGCTTGCATGCAACTTATTTCTGTTGCATGTGTGTGTGTGTGTGCATCGATCCCAAGCGGTGGTAATATCATCCTCATTCCGGGACCGCAAGCGATGTGCACCTGGAAGGGGGCTGTAACTTCCCGAGAAATGCTGCGAAAATGCTAACTGTATCGGGGTGGAAATCTGCAGGCCACATCTGGGGCTATACTGTACTTCGGTATGGTGGGAGAACGGCGTTGCTTGTCTCATGCCCTGCCCCACACGAGAGACCGGACGAGAAGGATCCGTCAATCAAGGTCATGTAGTCTTCGTGCAGGGTGCGCGGTAGAATCGCTATCTGTGGCAACAGTGCTGAGGAGGGAATGCACAGCATTTTTTTTGAGGCAGCCTGGAGGATATCCCTCTTCTTCTGTCCTTGGGTTTCCATATCCCATTCTGACGAGACCTGGCCATGAGTGCTGCCATGCAGTTTTCAGATGTCGTTGGGAATAGGACGCCATGGGGCAAGCCATTGTGATCCACCAAGGACACTGCGGCCGAGCCCCTCGGCAGAAGCAGAAAGCCAGAGGGAGGGTGTCAAGCTGAGACGTCCATGTTGAGGTGGAGAGGCATGCAGCAGAAGATGGAGGGTGTAACCGAGCAGCCATTGATGGTTCTGGGATGCTTGGTCTACTTTCTGTCGTATCTCGCAGCCCAGATGGGCAGAGTGCCTCGCAACCTTTTTGAGAAAGCCGTGCGCCCGAGCCGAAGCTTCTTGTCCGAGTTCAGGAAACCATGCCTCGTTCCTCGATGTCATCGTTGCGACCTGCTGCATGCCTGCGTCCGTGCTCATCAAATGCCGGAGCCTCGGTACAGCGGAAGCGCTTCCTGCCGACTCCTCGTCTCTCCGAGGCCGAACGTACATGGATGCACACCTCTTCGCCATGCCACTGATATCAACAGTATGTCGTTCCTTGCCTTAAGCTGGCGGGAAGCTTCTGCACCGAGATTCATGGATGCTCTGGCAGAGGCTCTGTGGGTCATTTCCCTGTCTACTTCAACAGCGCGGAAGCGGGAGTCTTCAAGGTTGACAAGGAGAAGAACGAGAAAGTCGATCAGGAAGTGCTCCGGCTAGATTACGCGCTGCACATCGCCAAGCAAGCGGTCTCTGTTCTATTGAGGTGGACAAGCACCTCCACAGCGGCGGTTGGCTCTGCTTCTACCCTGAAGGCGCTGCGAGGACCTGCCTCGAGAAGTGCATTCACTGTGAAGTGCGTCAGGTCAGTGCAACAGAACTCCCGACCAGCTCATGCCGTTCCGCTACGGTGGCATGAAGAGACTCGTCCACAGCAAGGAATGCCGACAGCAGACATTGAGGAACTTGGTTGCGCTGCCTGCTGCTCCGAGGAAGGCGCTGGAATTTGATGCGAGGCTAATCTCTGCGGCACAGCCTCGATTATTGTAGTTCCCAGCTACAATACAACTTTGACATAGTCTTCGGCTAACAACGAAAATTAAGTTTGTGCTGCTCTCCCTAGCAACCACGACATCTGCCGTGAGCCATCCGCCGAGGTAGTATGCCACGGGAATGAAAAGGTCTGGCCGCGGAAGATGAAGATGGGAGGACTTCCAGGCCCTTGTTGCGCCCTTGCGAGGTCGTATCCCTTGCACACGTTGAGTGTCAGGTTCTATTCGAGTCAGCTGCAAGCAGCTTGCACCAGACGGTGTAAAGGCCGGGGCATCGCAAGTGCTTCGCGCATTTTTTTCAATGATGCTGCCGAGACCGAACTTCGTGTTGTTTGCAAGCCTGCGGCCGGACATGTTGATAGTGTTTTTGTACCTGGAGTTCAGATCGATGTATGTCTGTCGATGTTGTTCATTCTACACATTGCCGATGTGCCTTGTCGAGGCACTTGTGAAGCAACTCCGCGAGTCCGAAGACATTTCCGCAGAGGTTAGGTCGTCAGGGATTGAATACACAGAGGGCTAGGCATGTGCTCGTGTCCGTGCACTGAGCATGTCAACAGGACAAAAAGGGCGAGGACTTTGAGCTGCTTGCGAGACACTTGCAGCGTGTCATGCAGACGCAGCACCCTGGCCCATTCAAGCACAAGGCAACAGACAAGACTCCAACATAGCTGCGAGCCTGTTCTCTGTCCAATTGCAAGGTATGATGACATGAATGGAAGAGCGAAGGAAGACTAAGAGCCGTGTCCGCCCTGTTGAAGAAGGTCTGCACATGCGACCATGTGCACCTTTTTTTACGAACCGTTATCCTGTAAATCGGGGGCTGGTCAATTGCAGTCGGTGATGACTGATTGCATGGCAAGGGACAAGAAGTAGTCGGCACAGGCTGCAAAGCAGCCGTTTGTGCAAATGGATTGTGTTGCTGATCCGAGAAAGCGCTGGCCTGTCAATGGCATCTTACAAGTCCGTTATTGCTGCACTTGTGGAATCCGCCTACGCAACACGCAGCCGAGGTTTATAATTCTGCAGCTGCGGCAGCGGCTTACAGCCAGGCAGACACAGGGCCGCAACAAGGGTGGCACAGTGCCGCATATGTGCAGGCCGCCCAACAGCAGGCGGTCGTCCAACAGGCCGCCCAGCAGGCGGTCGTCCAGCAGGTGGCAGCCCAACAGGTGGCAGCCCAGCAGGCGCAGGCGGCACAAGCCAGGCACTGAGACGGGGTGGCCGGCGGAGTCCGGGATCAGTTCGTAAGAAAGTGCACGGGCATAGGATGTGCTGCAGTCGAAAAAGACATAGATGATCCTGAGGCATTGCCCATCCTGAAGTTTCGAAATAGTGTGAAGTAGACATTGGGAATTTGTGTTCTGCGGGTTTGCAACGTAGAGTAGCCATAGCACAGTGGACGAACCAGGTCTATGCAGAGCGCCAGCAGACCTTTGACCACACAGGCTGTGAAGGCTCCGACAGCTGTGTTTTTAATGTGCTTGACCTTGAGGACTGCCGGAGCCTTTAATTCAATTTGCAATCGAGCTCATGGCAGGTAGCTATGCCGATTCTCCGGCCGCCCAGGACGGATTGGCACTTGCAAAAGGTTGCTTTGTCAATCTCCCCTCGTGGTTGGTGTGCATAAAGTGCATACGTCCGAGGATCTTGCAGAAGAGGATGTTGAAGGAGCGGAGGAAAACATTCAGCAGGCACCAGATAGACAGACCTTCTGAGAATGCATTTGGCAGAAGAAGGCGCTGTCTTAGCAAACCTTTCTTCCCTCTGTTGACGAGGTGGTGGGCAAGGAGCCTCCACTTTCGATTCGTTTTGCCTTCTGGTCTGGGCCCGTGATGTGTGTGTGTGTGTGTTTCTGTGTGTGTGCCAAGTAGTTGCAACGGTAGAGTGCGAGGTTGGTTGCATTCTACCGTTGTTTCATCAGCAGAAGCCTCGCAGGAGGGCAGGTTGAGGTTGGCGGAGAATCTTGCAGGAAAGCTCCATGTATGTCCATATGCTTTCCGAGTGAGTCGAAGCGGTGCCGGATTCGGATTCGCAACTAGTTTTGGCTCCACGCCCCAAACCGCGGGCGATGTGGCCTGCGCGGCATGGTGGCGCGCAAGGTGCCTGTGCAAACTTCCGGCTGCGTTGGACTCAAGAAGCCGTATTGTAATCAGCAGTTGATGTCACATCGGTCACATCTTTCTGTCTCTCCCTCGCTGTGTCTTTCTGAACTTACGGTGGCTTATGGTGGCTTGCAGGTGGATGCCAGCGAGGACGAGTCTGAGGAGGTACAGGAGCCGCGGTCGGTTTGGGAGTTTGCTAGAAATCATAGCAGCCACGAGTCGTCCTTGTCTAGGAACATCTGAAAGATGCCGTGGAGGGCACGTTGCGGCTGAAGCGTTTGCTGAGCCAGGACTCTGAGGCAGCTTGGGGAGTGCATGATCTTTAAGCTTGGTTCATAATTTGAAGCCTGTTAGTCTTGAAGCGTAGTCGTGATAATGCAGGCACATGCTTCTGAAGTGCTGGAGCTCAGGATGGATTCTCGAAGAAGAAGCGAGCCATGGAAAACAGCATCGACATCGACCGCCGTCATAGGATTGACGAGCTGTTGGAGCAACTTGGCAAGCACCGTCACAATCCTTGTCGCAGCGTTAGATTTTGAGTGGTCTGCATGTGCCCTGCTCAGGAAGTGGGATAGGCGGGCGTCTGAGCAAGAAGTCTTGGGCTGATGCCGCACCATCAAAATCCGAGCTAAGGTTGGACGACAGGGTGATGTTGCACGTCCTTGAAGGCTTTGAAACCCGGGAACTCGAGTACTTGGCGAACTCGTCCTTCGTGCCTGATGAGTTCAACTGGAGGAGCTAAGGGGCCTGTAGCGGCCTTGTGCCCTGAGCAGAGTCCGCACCCACGTCGAGGAATATCCCAGCGGACCAAGTGGCCACGCAGGTCGCCATGTGCCAGGGCGCCGAGCCGCCCCAGCCTGCCTGGCCTGGCCTTTCGGTCCGTGCGCAAACCAAGGGCTGGAGGGCCAGACGTTGGGTGGCGGTCCGCTCGACGTGCCGCTCGGACTGTGTAGAGGGTATAGAGCCACTGCTACTTGGTGAGATGAGCCATGCCAGTGCCAGGCTCCTCACTTTCCGAGACAAGTGGAAGCTGGGTCTGGATGCAGATAGCCTGAGCCCCGAGCCTCCTCGACCCAGAGCAGCCAGAAGCCTGTGCAAGTTTCGAGATTACAATGCTCAGGTGTCCTTCGAACACTGAGCCACAAGGACCAGCAGTTCATAGAATGCCGGGTTTCCAGCGCAATCAGCTATATCTGGCCCTGCAGGATTTGCGTTACGTGATGGATCACTACGATGGCACGCAGAACATTGGGAAGCTGGTTGCGGAGGCCGTCTGAAACTGTCGATGCCGATTTGCTGTCTCTTGGGGTAGATAAGCTTATAGCTTATGGGCCTCAATCATGAGACACAAGATGGACAGACAAGATACACAGAGAGACAGCGACGGGCAGGCCACTGATGGATGAGGGCAGGTTTCTCAAGTGATGTTGACGATGATGTTGGTAACGAGCATGAGATTGGAATTTTGGCACCCAGTATGCAAGACGTTTCGAATGGCATACAAAACTGGATAAGATGATCCGTCACCGGGGTGTGGTTTCAGTTCCCTACAGCATACCCAGAGGAATGACGCAGCACGAAAGATAAGCTGAAGGATTCACGAAGATGGTGAGCATCCCCAGCTGCCTGCGCTGGGACCCAGGACGGATGCATGCAGGTACGTGTGTATTCTACCCCTCTGTCCCCCTGCTTCAGAAAGAGAAGTGACTCCCCTTGGTTCATGAACTAGAGCGGTACGTACATACGTACTTACACACACACGCACACACACCTGCGAAGCTGGAGAGGCTTGAGCTTTGGACCTATTCTAGTGCTTTCGGGATCGGCCGGCATCGGCCGGCAGGTTGGCGTAGTTTATTCACTCGGCTTGTAGGGGCTGACCGAGGTCTTCTCTTTGCATGAGTCTAGGACTAGGAGCATGGGATGTCTGGGAGGCTCGGAGCGCGGTCGTCACAGACATGAAGATGTGCTCTTACATGACTAAAGATCCCCGATGTTTTCAATGGCGGTGACACATTACCCTCCCAAGGCATGCCGTTCAAGTCAACTGATCTAAATTCATGGTTATAGAGGAAGACTTTGTTGCATCCTGTTGTCGCAGCAGACGTGGTATCCTTGCTTCTGAATCCTCCGGCCGGCTGAGCCCCCGAAAAAGCTCCGCTGCAGGCGAAGAAGTCGCCTCCGCTGGAGGGGCGGACTGAAGGCTGCATGCCAGGCCCGAGCAGCATTCAGTAGATTCAGTATGCAGAGATCCGAGAATGAACCTGGCCCTTGGCATCCCAATGCACCTTCAGTATTCCCTGCGCCTGCTGCGTGCGTTGCGCGAGCATGGAGTTGTTGCCAAGATGCGCCTGGATTGGCCGCAATCGGCCGCTTCCACCGGCTTGAGCTCATTGACCCAACTGCAGATGCTGCGGAGACTCGGAAGAAAAGAGGAGAGTTTGTATCTGCTGATTTTTGCGATTGCTTGACGGATGATGGCTGTGGAGCTAGTCACCATCCAACAAATGAGGTATTCGGGGATGCCAACTTGAGCTTTGCGCGGCTCTGCTTCATTGGGCGGGCAGCAAATCTGCTACCTTTTTGTCTGTGCTTGCCCCATGGATCTGCACAGGTTAAATTTGGCGAGACACCGCAAGGTTCTGGGCCATCGGCTTAGACCGCAACTATGAATTCAATCCACGTGCGTTTCTGGCTTCAGCCTGGGACTCCGCGGCACGCGTGGCACGACTTGGCAGCTTGGCTTCACAGTACTTGCCGCGGCAGGCCATGTCGGCCGCGTCATCGCGACCACCTTCGAGTCTCTGGAGACTCTTCGGGAGCGCTATGAGGACTGCCTGTTGAAAATACACGGGCATCGCGAAGTGGCAGGGAGGCTTGGTGTTTTGAGTGGAGGAAATCGATGAAACCATCAAGACGCTCGAGGACCCCTGACTCAGTGCATTGGTCTGGTCGGTAATCTGTACACGACCATGAAAGATAGATGTAGGTACCCGGTACCTGTAGCGAAAGCAAGTGCCTAGCAGTGCTTCCACCGATTTGCTTCATTGTGTGCATCGAGCTGACAACGCGAATCGTTGTTGGCCAGGAGCATTACGCAGACGTGCACCATGAAATCGATTGCACTCGCATCGCCATGAATCCGAAGTTTAAGGGTCTGGAGGCAGGCTCGCTTGATAAGATTGTGCCTCTAGAGAGCCCCTTTGACTGAAGTTCCGTGAGGGAACCATCGGGGCAGTGTATTACAACTTCCCACATGCAGGCCAGGATGTGTGGCGAGCACCGAGTGAGCACAGTCGTGCTGGTGCTGCATGCACGTGAGGAGCTGTGGGTGGGTTTTTCGACGGCCACCCAGTGGTCAACTGGCGTCATGACGCCAGACTGCAGACATCGCAGCCATCGACGGACGACTATGATGCAGCGTGTGCCCAAACGGAGCTACTTTCCCGACCTCAGGAAAACTTGATGAGATTATTCTTTCGGGCACTGCGATCCTTCATGAAAGTGGGTGGCTTGGTGAAGGCCTTTGGGTCTGGAGACTTCCCAGAAAGTACGTGTGGCATGCATCATGCAAGCTTTCTGTGTTGCTGATGCTGGTAGTTGCGGGGTCGGCTTGCCGTTTCGTTGGACAAGCTAGCTTTTAGGGGTGTTGAGACACACCTATCACTCGCCAGGTTGCCTCGAACATGGGAGCGGTGGGTGTCCGTTTTTCGACGCTTGTCTGCACAAGGGGCGGACGATAACTTCATCCGATGTCCAAGACAGATGCCCCAAGCCCGGGAAGTTAGATTCATCTACTGGCCTGTGCCTGTCAAGTCCCTTTGGCTGTTAGACAAGCTTCTGGGCTTGTCGAGAATCCAGGTATAGAGGTGGCTTCAAACACATCGTGGAATGCGCATAGGAAGCAAGAGCCACGTGTGATGACGGGGAAAAAATGTCTGAGTCTACGCTACGTAGGATCTTTCACCAGACACCAGTTCAGGCACCCTTAAGTGTGTGGAGTCCTTTCCGTTCCTGCCCGTCTTCTGAGATACATTACCTTTGCAGCCAAAGAGAATGAGTTTGATCATGTCGGCGGCCGAGATGTGTGCAGACGGGGGGTGCGTAGCGTGGCTGGGATGTTACAGGTCAGAATGGCGGCTAGGTTCCTGCATTGCGTCTTAAGCATTCTCAGTGAACGGCTCCAGCTGAGATAGAAGCCCAGCAATTTTGTCACAAGCCCTCCAATCAAGCACCAACAAGTCGAACTTCGTATGCCCTTCTCCGTCCTTGCAAGCAATCGCACCAATGGCATGGCTTCTGTTCCAGTTTATTCGCTTGCCGGGGAGCTTCTGGCCGACGTTTCCGTTTTTGACACTTGGTGGCAGTGCTTGTTGACAGCACTCGAAGGAAAGAAAGCATTCGGGTGCAAGGTGCACCTAGCTTGTGAAGCAGAAGATAGTCTTGCAAGATCAGTGCTTTGCAGGAGGGTGACAAAGTAGCATCCATCCACCAGCAGCTCTGCGTCCCCTCTTTGCGGCTGGTGCTGCCTGGCTGCATACTGGTACCTCAGGGCATGCCTCCCGGTGTTTCGAGGCAGCGCTCGGCAGTCAAGCTAAGCCTCTAAGCTTCGCCGGGAATACTTGCGCAAGCGACGGGCCTGTCACTTCAAAGCACCTTCCCGAAACTCAGGTTACAAGGGCGGGAGCTGTCAGTAGAAGACGAGGTGCGTGGAGCCACCAGACTCTCTGTTCCTCCAAGTCATCATGGCACAGAGTGGCGATACTGCAGGTCTCCGCCGCTGGCCTGCTTGTGCCAGGGGTTGAGCTGACGGCTGTGGTGCAGGCTGGACGCAGCGGCTGCTTCGAGGCTGCTGGTCCGGAGTCGGGGACTCCAGAATCAAGCGGGCGCAAAGACGAAAGCCAGTCCCGCCGACCGAATCAAGCCCGAAATTTCTCACATGCTACTGAAGCATGCGCTCGCACCACGTTTCCAAGCCTCCAGCCATGAGCTCTCCCAGCTGCTTGGCTCTTAGTTCACATCCCAGAATGTCCACCGCAGGGCAGGCTATGCGAACTGACGCGAACTGATGTAGTTTGGGCTTATTCCAGGTCGAAAATTTCTGACCTCCTACAGTCAGGGTTTTTTTCTTGATGGCGGCCGTAGCACCGGGCCAGGTGATGTCGGACATTCCTTAAGATAAACCTTGCTGTAAAACCGGCCGTAGACCCTAGGTCCTAACCGTCAAGATAGAGAGTGTGATTCGCCTCGGGACTCTCCACGACTTCAGTTCTCTCGAGCCCTGCGGTGCAACTTTGTCAGCTGGGTGGGTGGAAAAAAACAACCGTCAAGACAGTCTGTGTCAGTCTTCCCCAAGCCCGGAGAAAGAGCGCTTCGGCCGATCCTTCCGGCCGCTACTGCAGGGGTGCAGTGACTAGGGGTGTTTCTGCAACCAGGTAAAGCAGAACAAGCTTCACTAACACTTCATGGGGAGCACACTATCACTAGGTCATTTGGGCCTGTTGGCCCAAGTGATCTGACCAACGTGCAGGCTGCGAGAGTGCTGACCGCTTCGAAAGATGCAACGGCCAAGATTTTCGATCTGGAGACAGGCGCTCTGCGACGAAAAAACAGAGCATTGGTGTTGTGGTGCGTGCGAGTCTTTTGATCTGTGGGCTACACCAGGTACATGCCTGCACTCATTCAACGAGGAATTCGACGATTTCGGTTATAATGACATCGTCTCAGCGGACGTCTCCGAAACTCGGTTAGCCTAATCAACTGTGACTATGAGCAGGGCCGGGGCGTTTCAACTTCGGCATGGTATACCCAGTGTGTAGCGAAGGAGACGGGGAGGATCTTTCTCTTGGCATGCGAAAATCTCGTGGTTTCGATGTACAAGTCCAGCACTGGAGAGCCAATCTATCGGCTGAAGCTCGAGGAGCAGCATGAGGCACAACCTAGGACCGCTCATTGTCGGATGCTATGGTTGGGTTGCCGGACCAGTCGCCAGGGCCTTGTGAGTGCGGCATTGTCGCCGGATGCCACCACCGTGGTGCTAGTGGATGCCAAAGGGGACGTGCTTTTAGTGGATTGGGCGCAAGAGAAGGCACCACGTGCCTTGGCCGCGTGCCCCAGACGCATGGAGACCTATGGCGTTGTTTTTCACGGACTGCTCGCCGCTATCTTCACCATGCTGGCATCGGTGCCAAGAGAGTCAGGCTTGGGCACGTCTTGCAAGCGCATTTCTCACCAAACGGTGCAAAGGCCGACCGTCTGGTTGCAGATGTGCTTGACTCATTGAATATAGGGAAGATGGGCAAACTCGTGCCGACAGGTCGTTGTCGCCTTCAAAGAGCACGTGGCACAGATATTTGATGCAAAGACAGGGCAGAGCGCCCAACTTTTCAAAGGCCACATGGGTCATGTTCTGCTGGCGACCGGACTGCAGCTGAACTCGGGAACCACACAGGACAAGATGCAAAGCCACTAAACAAGGGCAGGCACGAAGGCAGCCAATCATGCTCAGTATAGGCGCTGCCGCTTTCATCGCCATCTTCGGCATCACCACCATCAGCATCAGCACTGTGCGATCAAAATCATCACCAAACTCGCTAATCGCATCGGCTCTAGCGACATGAGCAGTGTCTAAGGCGAGGTTTTCTCCCGACATGACGAGACTCGGATTTCAGATTGCTAGTCTCTGTGCGTATATGTGTGGCTGTTTGCAAATTTCGGTAACGGTGGCTGTGCCAGGCAGTGGCATGGCCGTGTGCCTGTGTTGCGTGATGCGTAGATGCACGTCGCTGTTGCTCAGCAGTTTAAGGACCGTTTTGACAACATGCGCAGATGGTGTACTTCGGTTATTCGATGCGAGCACTTCTTGTCTCGTCCGGGACTTCCGAAGGTGCGCCAGTCTGTGCACCAGCCTGAGAGCGCTGAGTGACAGAGGGGTAAACTTTCTGCGAGGCATGCAGGCCGCGCTCGCAGCTGTTGCTTCTCACCATGTGGAGA